AACCTAGTGTTTCTGTGATTCTGTGAAGTTTAGGAATAAGCCAGCAAGTTGGATTCACATAGAATCAGTTTTATTGCCAGGTAAGAAATTCATATTAATATAGTGAATACATATGTTTACAAATAAACATTCTTAAAAAACAAACAAACATTTTATTGTAGGAAGTATTATTGGTATCATAAACTCTGTAGTTAACAAGTATTAACACGGGTTTACTTACAGAACATACAGTTACTAAAATATTTCCACATAAAATATGCTCAAGTTACATGAAACCTGTGTGAATAAGAGTGCAGCTGTAATGTGTATCTAAAGCATATGGATTAACAGCAACATTCCATAAAGGGTCAAATTAAGTCAGCCAGTTGTGAAGGCGATAAAGATTAAAGGAATAAAAGTAAGATAGTGGAGAATCTGGGTTGTGTGCAAAGTATTTGTCCCGTGGGCTTTGTCCACTTCTGATAGTCTTAAAACATATGATCATACAATTTAGCAGCACGCTTATGGAGAGATGCCGGTGCTCTCAGGACGCAAATCAATCTCGATATAGCATAAAAAAAAATGGTCTCTCCGTTTAACCACATTTCAAATTCTTAGCCTTTGCATCCTTTATTAAGAAGAAGCACTGCCAATCAGTTGAGTACAGCAAGAAATGCCACTTCCAATTCTTCTTAGAACAGAACAGTTCTTACTCCTCCCTGCATACTCTTCCAAAACTAATCTCCAGAAGAATTGACAGCTGGTGAGAATGAAACTGTGGTAAGATAGCTAGTTACGATTTAGCCAAATTACTTGTTTTGGGGGAAGAGCAGGAATTTAAGTGAAAGACTGAGTGCGTTGCCTGCCACCAGTCTGTTGCAGCACCACCACACCATCCCAACTCTGTTTATCTCTTTGTGGATGTGCCGAACCCTGTAGAGGCCCAGGACTGCAAGTCTACTACCAGTGTCCAATTCAAGAGTGGTTTTATTCATATGAACCAAGGAATCCCGCTCATCAGAACCACAGTCAAGACCACAAGTCCAATTGTTTGTTTAGTTTAAACCCAGATCTCTTTAACGTTTGAAGCTAGTCCATTAGCCTTTTCCACCAAATAGTCCACCAAGAGGGAATGCCACTATAGAAAGCCAAATGATGGAGACGATATACCATAGAACATTTAGTTGAACTACAAAGAACTACCATGGCTGAAAGCAAATACAAAACGAGAGACTAGAGGGAAAAAGTTTAAATTGGGAAAATGGAGGGGTTAAATAAATAGTCTTGAATGTGCAACCACTGCATGGAGATGAAGTCCAGTTTCCCTTCAGGACAAACAAAAGAGGCTGATCAGGGCAGAACCCTTGTCATCCTTAGCAAAACATGAGGAAATAGCTTAAAGGAACAGAGGGGTCACTTTGAGAAACAAGACTGTTATTGAACAATAGTAATACGGTAAAGGCACCACCCACGCTTAATTTCAGTCTGAAGCAGTTGAAGATAGGCAAAACATTTAGGTGAAGAAAAAGTCCTGACAGTCTGCCAAGTGAGAATTGTTACCATCTGCCTGAAAACAGGAGGACTGAGAGGGAATATTCTGATGCCCTTATTCCCCCAGCAGCTTTCTGTGTCACATGATACATCTTTTTTAATTTTGGAGGTTCCCAAAAATTTCAAATCAAATGAAGTAAACTGAAATAAAATCTTCTGCTGTTTGTTATACTCCTGCAGAATTCTCTACCAGCCAGAAAGGTCCCATATGCTCTTAATCATAACAGTCTTCATAATTCCTTGTGAAAGAGTCTTTGTCCCTTATTGTATATATATTTTTTGCGCTTTCTGTAGGATGGTGTGGGAGTAACAATAATAGATGTTAGGGGTTGTACCAAGATGTTTGCTCTTGGCTTTTCACAGGTCTAGTGACTATTAATAGGTTTTATACAAAATTCCTCTCTGAAATAATATATTACAGTATATTGTTCTCTCTTCCTCTGTCTCAAGGCAGGAACATAGTGTAAATGTTTAAGCAGACATAAAGTTTCTCTAGATTGTGCTACTTCTCATCATGGATTTTAGTTTCAAGTAAAAAAATTTAGTCACAAGGGTTTGTGTTCCATTCTGAAATACAAATGGACTTTATAATTCAACCTTCAGTGTGTATTGCTGAATGGTATTAACCCGCTCTTCGGCCTACAGTTGGCTGGATACCAAGAGTGTCCATGTGGAAGTTCCTTCCTTCTGTTTCCTTTTTTCTTATTATTTTATATTTTTAAATTTATTTTTTGCCTTTCAGTTGAGTGTTTGTGGTGTGTGTGTATTTGCATGTGGTTTTTAAAGGATTCCATTAAAAAAAAAAAAAGGGAAAACAAACTCAAACAGTTACTTCTGTCTTGCTGTTAGTTATGAAGTATGGCTGTGGGCCCAAATAATGCTGGCTCCGGGTTGTCAGTGGGTCGCTTAACGTTGGTTCTGCCATACCATGCTTCCCCTTGTTTGTGTATCCTTGCCGTCTAAGAGACTGGTCGTTGGGATCCCAGGTCTTGTAGTGGGAATTGTAACCTAATGGGTGTGTGTGTATCTTTGCGATTTTGGATTTCTGCCCGTTCTGCTTGGTTAGGCCACTGTCGATTGTGTAAGCTCTGTCTTCATCTAGGCGCACTGGATGGAGTGGCAGGCTCCCCTTGGCAGCCAGTTCTGCAAGATGTCGGCGTTTGGTGTAGAAGTCGTCATTGACTTTGTCAGCTATTTGGATTTAAAAGGGGGAGGGGACAAAAAAATCAGTTGGACACAAGAAAAATGTTACACAATTTACAGTAGGTCATGCACAGTTACATCTGTGGACCAGATACAGTTACAGGTACATCAGTAGGAGAAATCCATGCCACCCCTCACCCCTTATTTTCTCTCTGCAGTATATTTTTGAATGCCGTTATTCTAGGTTTTTCATATATGCAGACAAAGACCTGTTGCCCTTTAGCAAAAGGCTGTCCCTGCCCCAAATCACTCAGGTTGTGCTGATATTTACATTATGGGGACAGGTCCTATGAATCTTACCACTGTTCATCTCACAAGCATGGGAAATTTAGGAAGTGTCCAGACTTTCTTGGAAATATTAGGGCTTCTTGGGAATGCCCTCTTGTATGAGAGCACATCCCTTGAAATGCGAAGTGTCATGGGGGGGTGTGTTTAACTAAGCCAGTTGTAAGTCGATGGTGTATGAGGTAGACCCGTTTCTGTTGAATAATGCCTTAGGGCAAAATGGAGAATGGGATCTGTTCTTCTAAATGGTTGGAAGTTCACTAATGCTTTATGGGGCTGAAGATCCTTTGGGTTACTGGAGGTTAGGTATTTACCCTAAATTTTTCAGGCAATTAAAATCCTAAATTCCAGGTTCTGACATAATTTTCTGGGGCCAGTGCCACTAAGAAACACAGCAGTAGCCCTGCCGACAAATACTGCATTGCAGTTCCCAAATTAGGATTTTGCCCTCTGCAGTTTCCTGGACAAGTGACTTCCAGTGCATGCTTTTGCTCAAGTTTGATTGTTGCTACTGTTGGCATTTATTTGGCCTTGCTTAAAAGTATAAACCATACTCAGGAAGCTAAAGGCATTCTGCAGCAGTCCAGCAACTCATTTATATTTTGAGACTGAGTATCAGGGGTATAAGGAGAGCTTAACTGAATTGCATTTTTTAAGATCTTGCTTTTTATGTAAAAAGGGTTTATTTACCCCCTTCAGAAATCTGGATTTTGATTTAAGAAAGTGCTAAATATGTAGATCAACTAACATGGTGGTGCATAAATCAGCAGTGGTGTGCTTTGAATATATGATTGTGTCAGCCTGGATTTGACTTTTGCTGTGCCCTGGGTCGATCCATACGTTTTCCTTGAAGCTATGCCGTGTAAGGCTTCTCTGTAGAAGTCTTGAACATGTAGCTGGCTGTATAGCTGAGCTCCTCTTGCTTTCATGATAAGTAGGTTTTTAATTCCCTGCATTGTTTTTGTTTATTTTCCCTCTCTTTCTCTCTCCCCAGTATTGCTGGGAGGCTTTTGTTGCACTATGAATTTTCTCCTTCTCTCTAGTTCTGAATTGGATCTCTGTGCAAGGCAGTGAAATTCCCATGAGCACCACATTAATCTTCAAGATCAGGCTTCAGTTCTGCATCCCCTTTGTCCTGGCCCCTCAACAGGGAGGAATATTACCAAAAGCAGTTGCTGTTTATCATCTCATGACATTTTTTGTATAATGACTGTGCGCCTGAACTTCACTTTTAAATCCTTAATTTTTTCATTAAAGAGGTGTTTCCTCTTTGGTGAACTGAAATTGCTCTTGCCTATGCTGTAAAATTAGGCTTTGTATGTTTTACCAATCTCCATGTGTGTGTCTCTCTTAACCGATGAGTGAATGCTTTTCTATAACATACAGGTGTCTTCTGTTTTAAACAAATCACAGGCTGTAGATAATGGCTATTCTAATTTCAGTACAGCATGTGCAGCTGCAGTTGCTGATGTGTGTTACAAAGAGTACCTGCTAAGTTCTGCTTTGATTTTGGTGTGACTTGTTTCATTTAGAGATCTGTAATCTGAATAACCAAGAAGTTGTACCTGTTTCTCCTTGGAAGACCTTTTTCCAGTTCTAAATGTGGCTTGTCCTTTTAATTTGTTAATATTCACTGAATGCTACAAAACAGTATTATATACAAGTTGAATAAAAACAGGAGGGAAATGCAGTCTGTATTGCTAATTTATCATTAATCTGTTATCAATAATTGAGAAAAATGTTGTAGAAAAGGCATTGTGAATAACCACACAAGTATGTATTTGTGTAAATTTTTACATCAAAGGCACTGCAAGTCAACTGATTAGAGGAGTGAGCTTCTATGTCTTATGACTTAGACCTTGTCTATACATGAAAAGTCAAACTAGCTTATGTAGTTTAAATTCAACATAGTTAATTATGTCCAGCTCCTAATATAGATACATTTGTCTGACTATTTCACATTTAAATTGGTTTAATTTGCATAGAAAAATTAAAAACTAAGCTAATCTCATGTAAGGATAGGAAAAAATTGTAAGTTTGTACTTTTAATTCATTCTTAGTTAAGCTGCAGCAATTTGTCTTACATAACCAAGATATTTGATGATCAATTACAAGGTAAAGAATTCTGTTTAGAAAAAGAACAATGGTGATGCAGTTATGTAAATAATGACCAAAAATTGCAGACATTTGCATTGCCTGATTTTTCGTGCCATTTTTCTCTTTTGTATGGCTAAGTGAAAAAGGCCACAACAAGCTACTTCCTTAGTTTCTTTTCATTTTTTCTCACTCACACCTTTTTCCCACTGTCAGCAATGGTCCTGAATCTCTGAATTTTGCCAGATGTTAGATATGTTACTCAGATCTCCAAACGCATTAAGATTGATGGCATCACAGAAGAGTAAATTGTATTACTGTTGCATATAAACACCACCCCTACTGTAAAAACTAAGCAAGGAAGAAATCAGCCTCACAACAACTATGCCTATGACACATTGATTTTGCTCTTTTTTTATGCCACATTATATGTAAAATTTTCAACTCTTTGTTTCTTATAGAAGATCATACAGTAAGTGAAATGATGAGTTCTGTAAATACAGCTATGTTAAAGATGCTTTAACTAATTTAGTCCATAGTCCCTTTCCAGGGACTTCTCAACTGTTGTCTGTAAACTGGGATTCAAAAGAACAAACCAGGCTTTATAACAAATGCATGGTTTTGTAACAAATATTTTATCAAGAAAAGCATATTTATAGTATCCTGATGCCAAGTACTTTAAAAATCAACTGTGAATCTCAGGAAGTTCATTTTTCTTCTCAACCACCCCCTATAAACATTTTGTGGACTTTAAACATGCAAGGAGAAGTTTTGGATTTACAGTGACCTTGAGTACATGACTCAACTCTCCTCTGCCTTGGTTTCACCATCTGTATAAAATAAGCTGTTAACACATTGGAGGAGGCAGTTAAGCACTATGAAGATTAGTTGTTATCTGTAGAGTACTGAGTTTTCAGATGAAAGGTGCTATAGAAATGCCTTTTGCATTGGCTTCTGTATATAAATCAGTAAAATAGGATTTAAAGATATCACTGTCATGTTTGCAAAAGGAGTAAAGAATTAGAATTGCAGAATTGCCAAATGAACAATAGTAAAAGAAGGGCTTTAAGTCTGAGTGTTATTCTTTGTATTCCCTCCCTCCAGTCTTGGCAGCTAATTATACAAATGTTTCAATATTTTTGTAAGGTTTTTACTCCTTTAAGGTAATGCACCCACAAATTTAGTTACTGTTGTAGCTGCTCATTGGGAAAAAGTGTTGAAATATTAATTTTTTCCAACCTAAAGCGTGTGCCTGGGAGGGGGGAGAACTTGGTCTTTTGTTCCTGCTGTGCATGAAATGACTAACTGAAAAAATATAGCAACAGTGTAAGGATCAAAAGCAGGACTCCTCCCTCCTAGCTGAGTGCCTTAACTAAGCTAAAGAGATGCTTTCCTTTCCTTTCTCTTTCTAGACTAATAAATCTTGAATTTTCTTCTGGTCCACAGCACAAGTTCTTCAGGATGTGAATCTGGGTGGGGACCATTCTAGCAGAAGCTGGGATGCACCTTGCTGGCTAGGGCAGGTAGATCTAAATTCCACTCAGTTGGAGGAGTACAACCATAAGCCTATCATCTAAAAGGTGTATCACTCCACTTCTCACTCTTATCTGAATTCAACAATGCCTTAAAGTGACCACAACTGTCTGTTTTATTTTGAGCTTGACTTTGCCAGTATCGGTGTCAGATGTCTTAGATTGGGACCCTTGCCTTATTCCTTGAATTTTGATTTTGAAAGGACATGTCTACCAAGCTGCGTGGGATAGCAAGGTAATGTGAGTGCCTAGGAAATTTCAGTGAGTTTAGGCTCATTTAGATGAGGTGGCCAGAAAGGAATGGGCTTTTGATGGTACATTTTGATTCAAGTTTCACCATTCTGCCTAAATCTGTCTCTAACAGAGAAAAGCTTTGTTCTTTTGCTGATTAATGATTGGCCATGACCAGACTTAGAAGTTTCACATATTTCTTCATAATTCACAGTTATATAACAAAAGCATGTAAACCAGTGAGTCACTAAATACCATGGATGAAAACATGTTTTCTTGAAAATCAGTGGCAAAAATCCTTGTGGCTGTAATAGGGCCAGGATTTTTCAGTGCACTTATTTGAGTGTGTTACCTGTGTTGAGTTACCTAAAGCTATGTAATATTGTTCTGCTCCCAAAGTTAAGTAGTCTTCAAGGTGGTTATGTAACCACTTGTGGCATAGAGAGTCATGTGAACATGCATTAACATTGTGTAACGCTTTCTTTTTCTCCTAAAATATTGCAGTTACAAGCATTTATGTGTAGTAAGTATAGCTAAATAAGGAGGTCTTGGGTAATTGTGAAGCAGAGTATTTTTTTTACTCTCTTCCTCATTGACAATCTTCTTATCTCTGTGGGTCCATAAAATGGCTCTGAATTCTTGCACCACATCTTATAGCTATGGGGGAGAAGTGTAGAATCCTGGAAGACAATTATGTCCTACAGCTTTTGTGAAAGTAGGCACCTAGGAGTGGGATGAAACCGCTGAAGTGAGAGGAGAATCCACAAAGGAGTGAGCTCTTATAAAAGCTCTAAAGACATGTTAAAAAAAAAAAAAGCTTCAGTTGGAGCTTGCAGTCACAGTCAG